CCACTTCACGAACCGTTTGTTGGACTGCACTTCACGCCACTTCACGAACCGTTTGTTGGACTGCACCTCACGCCACTTCACGAACCGTTTGTTGGACTGAACTTCACGCCACTTCACGAAACGTTTGTTGGACTGCACTTCACGCCACTTCACGTAACGTCTTTTGGACTGATGCACATCACGCCACTTCGCGAAGTGCCTAATACTACATCACGGTGCGATCGACTCTCGATCCTCCCGATTTCTCTCGTATTGATACAATATAAGTCGTGTGGTCGGTAAACAACAGAGTTCGCATGACCTCAGCAGATTTTAGTTAACACGACAATGCAAGTTTGAAAGTGAGCAACACTCAACAATAATACTTCGTTACTCGTTAGTGAACATTTCAATGAACATTGAACGCTCGTTAATTGCTCAACGAGTAGAGTAGACAATTTCATATAATTTTGGTATTGAGATCACCTAAGTTTAAATCTTTTTGTGAGCTTCTAGGTACACCATCGCGACAATTCTAAAGGAAAAATAAGTATCGAGCTATCAAACAAAGCAAAATAAAAGCTCTCCTTGTAACATAACATAGTGATCTCGGCGCTGAAGTGTAGGCCTGATGTGGCCTGTCGCCGATTCTTTTTCTTTTGTAGTTCAGAGAAACTTAATTAAAAAAAATACAATTGAGTAATAAAAAGTGTGATGCTGAAATCGCACCTGCAAGTTAGGAACGAATAATAGAATTAATATTATGAATTACTGAATCAATTAATACATCAATATTTTTCAACACATGTCCAATTCAGCATATGGCCAATAGATCTGAGGTTATTGTAAGGGGAGTTGAACGTTTCCTCCGATTTCAATTTTTTGCTGCCGCATTGAAATAAAATTAATGAGACTGGATCAGCTCATGGGAAGTCCAACACCATTAGAAAGAGGGGTTTCTAATGGTGTTGGGATTGCATTTAGAAGTTGGAAAAGGCCTTCCCTCTCCCTAATTGTATTATGTAGGTTGTTGGAAATAATACAAAAATTTGATGTTCATTAATGTACTGAAGAATGATGGCACCGACCTACACCTGTATCGGTGTAAGTCGCTAGAATACAGACACGACATGAGCGAAACTTGGCAGTTTACCCCTTAGTTGTTGACCACACGGCGTCAGATAGAAAATGAAGCTACTTAGCTAAAGCGCGACTGGCTAATGGTTCCCCGCTGGGCACTCTAAACAGAATTCACAATATTTGATGGTACAATTCAAACATGGAAGTATTTTCGCCATTTACCGAATTTTGGGGGAACTCAGAGATTACGCGAGTGTTATTCGTGCTCGAGAATTGACAAGGTTTCCTGAGTGAATTATTTATTTGTGAAATTGATGAAATCCGAAATAAGTAGGCGAGTTCAAGATAATTAAGTAACATATAGTTACAGAGAGAGATTGATGGTCAACGAGTTTGAAGGATTAATGACATTAATTACGACGTTCACGAGAAAAGACAGTGCGAGATATAAATTCGAGTCACTACAGACGTATGCGTTCCAAAACAAATTGCAAAATATCGACAGTATATTAAATGAAAATAAATTTTGCTTCTCGTGAAACATAATTCGGGTTTTGTAACGACGAGAAATTCGAGTCATGATATGTTTATTTATTAGTCCAAATTCATTAATTATGAAGTATTATGATGCCGTGAAGCTCTGAGAACATCATTGGCGTTTATCTATATTATTCCTGTTGAACAGGCCTTGACTGCGTTCGTTGATGTTACGTCAATAAATTATGAATTATTTGCAACTTTTTTGGCTTTATAAATAATTGTGAATTATTCTCTGATGATTAAATTCCTAAACTAGATACAAATATATGACATATTAACTTGTCCTAAACTTGACCATTCGAATTACTTCATTACGTAACATAAATAACTATGACAGCTCATGTTACTGGTCTTCCGAACTAAATGAATTTATTCAAGTATTAAAAAATGTATTCGGAGATCGAGTTCAATTCTACTTGAGTCCGCGCCCATGATTTTCGTGTTCTATGTTATTTTTTCGAAGAACTTTTTGAGACATACGCATTTAAAATCAGCGAATTGGGAACGAATACATTTATTATCAAGCAGTTATAATTTTTTAGTCTGATTTTAAGCAAATTCATTGAGTGTATGTTTGCTGCCTTTGAAGCCTCTTGGTATTATGCAAAAGAAAACCATAATTATTTAGTAATTCTAAAGAGTTTTAAACAAGGGAGTTTGCTTGAAGCTGTTATAATATAATACTGTGATGTCTTGTAGTGACTCGATCATAACTCGCACTATAATTTCTTGTGAATATCGTAATTCTTTTTATTAACTCTTCAAACTCGTTAATCACCAATTTCTATAGCTATTCGCAACTTAATTACCCAGAAACTTGTCAATTATTCCTATGTCGTCAATTTAACTTTTGAATAATCATGCAAACATTCTGTCAAGAGATATTCTCAAATTTCTAGCACTATAATATTCGTATGATTTTTGAGTTACAATATAATTCGATATTCGACAAAATACTTTTTATATTTAATTCGATCACTCGAAAGTTGTGATTTTCGTTTAGAACGTGCTAGCGAACAGAGCCAGAACCATACGGTAGAATCACTTTGCTTTTTCACGTCGACGTGTTAACATCTCCGGGGTTACGGAGTAAGCTACTCAGTCGATCGTTCAATTTAAATTCAGCTATTTGTGATTAAATATTTCAAAGTGTAACCGTCAGAACTATTTCATGGCTTGCTCTCAATATTTCTCAATATTGTTTTCTGCTATTTTATGTCAGTGTTACGCTTAGTCAACCTTCTGAATCAAAGTCAGATAGCTATTCAACCTCATACTATCTGAATAACCATTTGTATTCATTATTTCTTTAATCATTAATATTCCATTTTTGTTCATGTCATGTTTGTATTATAATGACCAACCGCCCGCAGTTGTTGGTCGGTCGGCGTCTTCGTTCTTCAACCCCAATAAACTATCTGAGCTCCGCAGTCTTTACTACAACCCCACTAGACGTGACCATTCATTAATTAGGAAAGAGGGAAGGTTGCTGTAAAATCTTACTCAAAACCCAAGTTACCCAACCACCACCCAAACCACCCTCTTCTTTAGTCTCATCATCACTCGCTTGTCTAGAATCGACGTTAACAACTTAACACGTACGATTAGTGACCAGAGAATGAATTTTATTCCAATTTTCAGGGAGTCGAAAAATTCTTCAGATAACTTTAATAAATCAAAAGGCAATAGATCAAAAGGCAGCAAGTTCTTATAAAATATTTAACGGCGTTTTGAATGTACTAACATTTAATTTCAAGTTACGAGAAACATTTAACAATGAAATTTTGGTGGAAATAAGTACTTAATAGCTCAAAATATATAATAAGTACATAGTAGTCAAAGTTCAGACAATTCCGGTAGTTTGCAATTAGATGCTGAGTCCAATCCCCATTGATGAGCGCTCCAGCAATCGTCGGTAGGTTAATATTGGGCGCCACTGCATGATGACGATGCTGGTGAGTTCCTGCAGCACTGCATGACGACGATGCTGGTGGGTTCCTCTAGCACTGCATGACGACGATGCTGGTGGGTTCCTCCGGCACTGCATGACGACGATGCTGGTGGGTTCCTCCAGCACTGCATGATGACGATGCTGGTGGGTTCCTCCAGCACTGCATGACGACGATGATGGTGGGTTTCTCCAGCACTGCATGATGACGATGGTGGTGGGTTCCTCCAGCTCAGTGCGAGCTTGTCTCAGAGGGGTCCTCCTGACTGTAGGTGACAGGTGAGATGGTTTCAATGTCGTGGTTATTAGTCCAATAACTCATTGTAGTCCAAATGCTGAAGAAGTCGTCATTCACGCGTCCTCTCTTACGTCGTATATAAGGCACGCGCATCTCAGGCGGAGTCGCAGTCGTTCAGAGTTGCTTAGTTGCAACGTACGGTGAGCGGCCAACAGACTGACTAGATAAGAGTTACGTGTCCATTCTTCATCTATGATAACTTGAAATAATAATAGACGTTTAAAATTACTTTTTAAAGACAACACTTCTAAAGAATCCAGTGTTTCAAATGTTCCAGATGTACAATGAATTTCTAATTTTATTTTCGAGTATTAAAAAAATTAATTTTTCAATTTATTTTAATATATAAATTTTTTCCCAAAATTATTTATTCTGTCAATTGATTCATGCATTGCCTCCGACTTCACACAAGTGTGCAAAATTTCAGGTCAATTTGACAGGTATAAGTGTGTCAAATATCAATTATAACATTTTTAGCTGACAAAATTATTTTTTCAATTTTTTTAATGTTGAAAAAAATTTTAATTTTTAAAATTTATTATTTTGTCATTTGATTCTTGCATTGTCTCCAACTTTGTCCAACCTTGTCTCCAACCAACCTTGTCTCCCATTTCTCCAACCTCAAGTGTGCAAAATTTCCGATCGATAGGATAAGTAGAAGTGTGTTAAATTTCGGTTATAAGATTTGTAGCAGACAGACAGACAGACAGACAGACAGACAAACAAGAAGTGAAGGTAAAGAGAAGTGTTGTAAAATCATGCAATTTCTATGCTAACATATGTATGCGGTATTTTGTAAACCGAATTAATTTCGTGTAATCTAACAGGACTGATGCGCTTATATTAAAGGAACTTACCTGAGATTGCAGTGAATCCAAGCAGCTTTCCTCATCTGCGAGTGAATTCCTGAGCGTTCGCTAATTCTACGTATCTGGGAATTCATGAGTGATCCTGTACATTAGAATTTTTGGTGAAACGTAGAAATTGAAATTTTATCTGGAGTGGATGAATGAATAAAATTTATTATTATCCATTCATTCAAAAACGGATAATAATAAAGTCAGACTCAGGGACGAGTAACCGCCTTCTACTGCTATTTGAATATGGTTTGAAAGTATGAGTTATTAAGGATACCTTAGTCTTAGTGTAAATGTTTTATTATTAATTTCAGTTCTTTTCCAGAATTTATTGTTAAATAATTATTAAAGTAATTACAAATTACTACGACGCAGTCCTTAGCAGTAGAGAAATAATCGCGAAGACATCATGAATAACAGGACCTGGATAGAATGGCTTGGTTTGCCATCGGGTGTCTCATATGAAGAGGTCGAAGAAAAACTTGGTGAGCCATATCCAAGTTTGGCAGAATTTTGGAAATGGGCTCTAATTTTTGGCGCTACACTGTACATTTTTAGAGATTACATCCTCATCCCTTTCATTCTAAAGCCCCTGGGCTTGAGAGCTGGCGTCAGGTCTCGGCCGTACGCTGCCCCACCGCCCAACAAAACTCTTGAAGATTTGTATGCTGTAAACCGAGCGCGACCGCCGCGCCAAATGCTGACAGCGGCCGCGTCGCGCAACAACTGGTCGGAGCGAGCAGTCGAAAGATGGCTTCGGCAGAGAGCTTTATCTTCGCAAATGACAACGCTGGAAAAGTTCTGTGACATGGGTTGGCAAGTTTTCTTCTATAGCTGCCAATTCATCGCTGGCTTGTTCATAGTTTTACCACAAGACTATGTTTGGGATTCCTCTTTGCTCTTTGAAGACGTTCCGTATCAACGAGTTCCAGTCATAATTTGGTGGTACTGCGCATTTAACTGCGGATTTTACATCACCCAAACGTACACTCTGCTCACCCAAGATCGACGTCACGATTTTTTTATAATGGTAATCCATCACTTGGCAGTTTTCCTTATATATTTCGTTAACGTGTCCATGAACGGGATGAACTTGCAATCTTTAAGTGCTTTCATCCACGAGACTGCCGACATACCTCTAGCTTTGGGAAAAATGCTTGATTACTCGGGCAGAAAAGAATTTAATACGTTCTGCATGGTGATCTTTGCTGTGGTCTGGATAATAACTAGACTTGTGCTTTACCCAGTGATGATTATTAAACCAATTTTTGCAAAATATTTCACTTTAGGGTTCCGTATTTGGCCGGGACTTTACTTGGGATCGGCTTTATCTCTTATTTTGCTTTTCCTTCACTGCATGTGGACCGTGGAGCTCGTCAAAGCAATAAAAATTAAATTATCTACAGATAAAGTCGTTGCAGACGGTAGGTCATCTGGAGAGGAACTCTCTGAAGAAGAAAAAGTTACTGAAAACTCAAATTTTGACATTAAAGTCCGAAATAAGGTTCGTGGCTGGCTGGATGAGGATAATGGGAGACAACGCAAAGTCATTCCTTCCGTCTTCTGAGCGTACAAATTTCCTATTTATAAGTAAAACTTTAATAATTATGGCATCTAAGTAATTGTCAAATGAATTCAATTTTTTCCCAGGTGTATCAAAACATGAAGAGAAATTTGTTATAATCTAAACGTTCTTGTGTGCACATTACCTGGCATCGTTTGTGTATAGTATACATTCTACTCCGTCAGGTGCCTTATATTTCATGTATTTATTTTGGCCACTACCGAAGTCTCGAGCTGTCTACATGTCAGGAGCTTTTGTTTCGGCCTCGTTTGGTGAAATTGTTTTCGACTCGAGATGCTTGAACCTTTACCACGGATATTTTTGAAAGAGCAACTTTATGTACGCTCAAGTTTTATTGGCCCCAAATATCTCAGTAGTTCATTTCCTTACTTTAGTGCCGCTTCGGAGTCTATGGCTAAAGTTGAAAGAATTGTTCTCTATATACCTCCTAAATGTAAACTTCATGTATTTCAGGTGAATACTTTTAAATCAGTTTTTTTCATGTATGAAGATACACTCTTATGTGATAGTCCCTAGTTTGTCAATATAGTTGTGCGCTGTGCGCATCTGCGTATGTTGGTATGACATCTCGCAATTTTTGTACTAGACTGGCGGAGCACAAATTAAGGAAGGGAGTTTTAGAACAGGAAACCTGCTTGTGCATTCCCTTCATTCAGCAGTACGCGTTCGATCATGCCGAGCAGTGCAACGTCCCAGCGTCCGATAGTGATTTTCTAATTTTATCCTCCACAACCTGTGTTTCTGACCTGCGAATTTTAGAGTCCCTTAATATTTTTAAACAAAAGCCTAATTTCGATGCCGCCAATAGTTCATATCCCCTTGAAATTGTAAATAGATAGGTTTATCCCCTATGATAGGTTCATATCCCCTCATAGTTACTTCATTCTTATTTGTTTTCATTTGATGATTCATGCTTCAATATGAATTTGTTTGCTAATACCTGTGTTTGCTTGTACCTGTGTTTTAGGTTTAGAACGGATGATGGAGCTGGATATCGAAACGTTTTCTTTTATAAGAAATGGTGAAATTTCCGGCTATATTCTTTGCTTTTAATTCTGGATAAACTTGCGATTTAAGCAATCAAGTGATCTTAACTGCAAGTTTAGACAAGGTTTCAGCATCAATGTGTTGCAGCATCATTGCTCTAAATTTCATTCAGACATGTACTCTGTAAGATGGCCGAATTTTCGAATTAAATAAAACCGTAAATCCTGTTAAAAACAAATGAAATATTTCCCTACATCAGCACATTGAAGCAACATTGTTGTCATGGTTTTCTATACGGTTCAGTAATATTAATTGGGGTAGTAGGCAAAATAATTGAAAATGATGTATAAATCAGATTAACAAATCGAATTAACCTTACACATCAAGAATATGGCGCACCGTTAAGTGAATTTGATCCAAACAGAAACAGTAAAGGAAAACGTCGGAAGTAAAGAAACTAAGACAAAGACCACGCACACTTCAGAGGACAAATGAATACGGAAGGAGCAAAGGATCGGACCAGTTTTTTCACTCAATTCGTTGCACGTTATTTAAAAAAAATTCGTGAGATATTTTTTAAATTAAAATTTCATGAACTGCCGTCATTTTAGTGCTCCAAGAAGTACAATTCGTCTAACCTTTTGTCTCAACTTTTTTCTTTCTTTTAGAGATTGTCTAACCTTTTGAAGAGCAAAGATAAATAACGGAAAATTTATAAACTTTTAGTCTTTTGCAGGAAAGTGTCTCGTTTTGCGGGAAACATTTATTTAGGAATATGTTCCAAAATTCAGCAAATGAAAGCAGTAAATTGCAGTCGAAAAATGTATCATATGTGATAATTTTGTTTAGAGCATTTCGTATTATGCCAAATTGAGCATGAAAAAGAAAACCGTCTAACATTAATGTGATTTGGTTACATCAAGTTGATAATACTATTCGAAGAAATATTGGTATTTCTGTATTTCGAGAAAATACGTAAAGAGCGTTCATTTCGGCATCACCACCACACCATTCACTTAGTTCACGTTTTAGTTACTGAGCATGAGGGTGCTAGAATTTAACGGTGGGCAGATGATTGATAATCGACAAAGGCACGATAACAAAGTCTCAAACGTAAACCCAGGTGACATTGATTAATTATTTTGCAGATAGTTTGAGTTACTATGATAATTTGACTGTCAATTAAGAAGGCAATAGCTTGAAAAGATCCAATATGAATGCAAAGTAATTAATTATACTCAATTTGTAATGGAAAAGCTTTTTTTACTCTCTCGTATGACGTAAAATATAAAAGATAATAAGAAGAATTATTGATTGCGACTCTCTGCGGCAACTCTTGCTCCTAATTCTGCAGTGCTCAGAAAAAGAAAATAACATCGAAGGCAGAAAAATTACACTTCCCTGAGTCTGTTCTCACGCATGTGTTCTAGATTTTTACAGTAAAACCAATGAAACCATTCAGATTACAAAAATTACAAATACATTTAGTAGAAATTTTAATGGCTACACGCAGCGTAAACTTTATAGGCCACTCTTTCCTCAGAGTTTTCTTTTTTATCGGCCGAGACAGCAGAGTCAGCCAAGGCGGCACAGCCCGCAGCGTCAGCAAGGCGGCACAGCCCGCAGAGTCAGCAAGGCGGCACAGCCCGCAGAGTCAGCCAAGGCGGCACAGCCCGCAGAGTCAGCCAAGGCGGCATAGCCCGCTGAGTCAGCCAAGGCGGCACAGCCCGCGGAGTCAGCCAAGGCGGCACATCCCGCAGAGTCAGCCAAGGCGGCACAGCCCGCAGAGTCAGCCAAGGCGGCACAGCCCGCTGAGTCAGCCAAGGCGGCACAGCTCCGCTTATTAGAGGAAAAATCTAGCAAAAAGTGCATGGTTGAATGGTTTGTTTTTGCTGGCGATGGCTCAAGGATCAATCCCTAGGAAAAACTGATTTAGTAAATTTATAAAGAGGCCAATTTCTATCTGGTATATGGCGGTAGAGGGAGGTCTCATGACACCAAAAACTACCAAATTCGCAACGTTCGATATCGTATAGTTAATAATTAATCGCTACTTCCAAATTCATTCATGCTAGCTATTATTTTCCTATGCGTTACGTCCTATGCAATTTTTTCACAAAGCTATTGCCATGAATTTCGTTCTAAATGCAATAAAATCCCGCATACCCATTCACCATTATACCCGATTTTCAGAAGCACTTCCTATGTAAAATAATAATTCCATATTACCCATTTACCCTCCCAATACCCATAGAATATCTATGCCTCAACCACCACAGCCGCTTCCTCCAGCAGCGATATGTTGATACCCATTAATTATTGTTCTTGTCCAATAGTCAATACCCGCAGCCTAATAAATTTATATGGCTAGTGGCAATGTAATGCAGTTGACTAATTTAACTAATTATAATTAAAATGCTACGTGGACGTAAATACAGACTGATATTATTTTCATTAGTTTATCTTCATTACCAAATTGAGGCACAATAATCAACATACACTACTGTGAAGAAAATATATAACAAGCTCCATTAACAATTGCTCTGTCTTCGTGCGAAGGTAATTTATAAGATAATTATCCACTGTTGATAAATGAATTAAATTAACATTATTGAGGACTACGATCGGTTTGTGGCAAATATATGGTAACGAATGTTGCGCCAGCAACTAACATATGTAAGTCTCGCTTCAAAATATCATTTTTGAACAAAAAATTTTGCCTATCACATGTTGAGATAATCCGTCATTCTTTCGCCGTATTTATTTTATTACTAGTTAGTCTGTTATCCAGGAAATCCTGCCGCCGTAATTCTACCATCCATCAATTTAACTAAAATAATACTCGATAAATAATTCAATCTTCATACTGTGTGCGGCAGTGATGATGATTTGGCTTTGATTAATTCACATTAAAGTTGTTTTATCTCATTTTGCAGTATAACCTCCTACCATATACTACTGATTATTCATATTTTCCAAAGATTGGTGTAATTCAGCAGAAGCTTTTCTTGTATGCAAGATTGATTGAAGACCATGCAGAGCATTCCTTTTATTAACAATCTTCCTATTTGTTTTATCAATGTGTCGAACCAAATTTCTTGCTGGCACCTGAGGATCAAAAAATAGGTTAACAAATGAAATTTTAATGGAATGTGACGTTTCGAATATACAATGTTCATTATCAAGCTGGTTTTGCAGCACTTGAAATTAAACTTTTGAAAATGACAGTGGTACAAATTGAGGGTATTGTGTATACAATTTGAAATCGAAGCTTAAAATTACTCTGAAAATAATTTCAGCATCCGGGCAAATCCAGTAGTTTGGAGCTTGATAGCTGCAGACTCGCTCTTGATAATGAGGGCCTCATCAGAAAGTTGCCAGATTGCTTAAAAAGCGGCCAAGTTGGCTAACAAAAAAAAAGGCCAAAAAAGACCTATAACTCAAGGTTTACTAGTATATTTGTAGGTTCGGATTTAAAAATTCAATTTATTATTATTATTTTTTTTTAATTAGGAAGTACCCCTGACATAAATTTTAACCGGCCAACGTAACTGAAAAGCTAAATCGAGTAATTTGCCCGGAAAAAAAGACCGTCTGGCAACCCTGCCTCAGCACATTGAAAAAACACATAAAACTATTGTAAATAAAAGGCATACTCTGGTCTTGCCGCCACTGCAGGCAACGTCTGTTGGACTTATGCACTTGCCGCCACTTCACGCAACGTCTGTTGGACTTATGCACTTGACGCCACTTCACGCAACGTCTGTTGGACTAATGCACTTCACGCCACTTCACGCAACGTCTGTTGGACTTATGCACTTGACGACACTTCACGTAACGTCTTTTGGACTTATGCACTTCACGCCACTTCGCGAAGTGCCTAATACTACATCACGGTGCGATCGACTCTCGATCCTCCCGATTTCTCTCGTATTGATACAATATAAGTCGTGTGGTCGGTAACCAACAGAGTTCGCATGACCTCAGCAGATTTTAGTTAACACGACAATGCAAGTGTGAAAGGGAGCGACACTCAACGATAATACTTGGTTAGTGAACATTTTAACGAGTTTGGAGCACGCATTATTTGCTTAATGAGTTGTAGGCAACTTCATGTAAGTTTGGTGTGGAGATCACGCAAGTTTAAATCTTTTTTGTGAGCTTCGAGGGACACCATCGCTGCAATTGTAGGGGAAAAATTAGTTTCGAGCAATCAAACGCAGCAAAATAAAGGCTCTCCCTGTAGTTCAAAGAAACTTATTCAAAAAGAAGATTCCAATTGAGGAATAAAACGTGTGATGTTCAACTCGCAAATACAATTTAGGAACAATCAATAGAACTAATATCATGAATTAATAAATAAATTAATACATCAATTGGTCAGCACATGTCAAATTCAGCACATGATCTGAGAAAACTTAGGGATAAGCTGGAGGTTTTCTCCGATTTGATTTTTTGCTGCCGCATTGAAATAAAATTAGTGATGCTCGATTTGAATTAGTGAATTTGATGATGCTCCCTGTCATGAGACAAAACTGGAAAATTACCTTAATGAAGTGAACTTACGCAAATACAAATCCTGAAGTGTACGAACGGCATGTAAACTTAAGGTTGTGATCATTCCAGACTTGAATCTTTCAAGTTTATAATACTGATGCTACGCAAAGTTCAAGAT